AGTAGGCCAAATTGTGGCTATTTAAGGGGGGAACCTAGGACAGATAGTGTTGAGGGGGGTAGTAGGGAAACCCATGATATGAGGGTTTAGGGTTTTGGGTTTAGGGTGTAGGGCCCTAAGAGGACCAGAAGCCTGGGCTTGGGGCCCCCAACCTTGGTATGTTCCCCCTTATACTATAACAATGCTTGATATGAGGGGCTAAGGGCCTGGGGTTTAGGGTTTCCCGTAAATTAGACGCCTGTTGCAAAAAGCTTCTAAACCCTCTAAACCCTATAAACCCTAAAAAGCCCTAGGAAAACCCTAAAAAGCCCTAGGAAAACCCCAAACCCCTAGAGGCCCTCCTCGGAAAGAGCTTGACATCCCTCCCATGGCAGGCGGAGGCACAGATCAAGCAGCGCGAACAGCGCTGCCAGCAACTTCAGGCCTGTCAGCCTCACGAGGGGGTTTAGGGTTTAGGGTTTAGGGTTTAGGGTTTAGGGTTTAGGGGGGGGGGAGGGAGAGGGGGCCATACAAACCCTAGGCCCTGAACCCTAAACCCCAAACCACCACTCCTACTGCGTGTGAGAGAGAGAGGGCTCTTGCCGTCATCCAGGTATTGGCCCGTCCAACCTCTTGATCCTTGCCCCTGAGGCACATGTGGCACAGAACAAGATGGAGCTGGCCCACTTGGACTTGGACTTTGAGTGGTGCCCAGGCTTGATTCGGCGGTCTAAACCCTAAACCCTAAACCCTAAACCCTAAACCCTAAACCCTAAACCCTAAACCCTAAACCCTAAACCCTAAACCCTAAACCCTAAACCCTAAACCCTAAACCCTAAACCCTAAACCCTAAACCCTAAACCCTAAACCCTAAACCCTAAACCCTAAACCCTAAACCCTAAACCCTAAACCCTAAACCCTAAACCGTCGAGAGTCAGGAGCTGGAGCGTGGTGACTGACAGGTCCCCTTTCCCCCCCCTCCCCAGCGCTTGAGGGTTTAGGGTTGAGGACTCCATCCAGGCGAGGACATTCTGCAAGCCTGCTGCAAAAGGGGGTGAGACCAGGGGCAGAGATACCCAAAACCTTCCCTATAAATACTAGGACAGATGAGAGAGAGAGAGAGAGAGAGAGATAGATGGTCCGCTGTTTGGTATGGTGTGGTGGCAGAATGGTTTTCCCTAATCTTTTCAGTTTCACGCCGACCTCACCAGACGGATCCGCGTGTCGCGCCCAGTGCGCGGGGGGTAGGGTAACTTCCCTACTCCTCATGCCCCGTAGAAGAAGAAGAAGAAGAAGAAGAAGAAGAAGAAGAAGAAGAAGAAGAAGAAGAAGAAGAAGAAGAAGAAGAAGAAGATCAGAGAGAGAGATGCTAGGGCAGTTTCGGGTGGGGAGTTGTTCCCTTACAACAGTCCCAGCGTCTTATGTCGACCTTTCATTGCCTTTTACAGGCTTTTACGACATGTATATATATATATACACATACACATGCATGAACACTAATATGCAAAACGGCTGCTGTTTGGCATAATTATATGTGTGATATGCCAAACAGCAACTGCCCCCCCCCCCCTCCCCCCAAAGAGGACACTATTCTTACTCATTTTAATGACATGACCCCGACATAGCCTGGGCTTCAAGACACAGGGTGCAGCTGAGTTTTTCTGGAGCAACACGCCAGCTTGCAACCCCAAACCCTAGACCCTAAAAACCCTAAGCCCCAAACCCTAAACCCTAAACCCTAAACCCTAAACCCTAAACCCTGAACCCTGAACCCTGAACCCTGAACCCTGAACCCTGAACCCTGAACCCTAAACCCTGAACCCTGAACCCTAAACCCTAAACCCTGAACCCTAACCCTACCTGGGTCCTATAAACCCCCATTGTTACGAGTGACCCTTAAGGAGCTGAAGGAGGGACCGTGACCAGGACCTTAGGGGCCGTGCCTAGGGCCTGGGGGTTCTTTTTGGGCTTCTTAGACCTTATAGATGTACGTGTCTTTTTGGTTCTATATGAATATAATATATGTATATACTAATATATATATATATATATATATATGCTACCCCCCCCCTGTAGCGCCTAGGTTTTACTTAAAAAAGAGTGTGTTTTTCGTAGGATTTACTAAAAAACGTGTTTTTTGAATCGCATGAACGGAATGGAGGATACTGCCCAACACATAGGCGACAGACGCAGCAAACAGTGCAACACAGCGTGCGTCGGAATCATGTTACACGTGTTTTTGCTTCTGTGCTAGAAAAGACAGGCCTGTAATTAAACTTGTTCATACACTACATTAATTAAAACATAATGCGTAATAGGGAACCTGACCTAGTGGCTTCACTTAAGCATTCATTGAATGAGCTAAAACATGTTCCTTCTTCTTTTCGTGAACAAGCACAGTGCTTAATTTCACTAAAGTTTTTTGTTTTCTGGAAAATAACATACGTACAGTCTTTCCAACAGTTTGATTAGTCTTCTGAAAGTGTTTTTGCTTCTGTGCTAGAAAAGACAGGCCTGTAATTAAACTTGTTCATACACTACATTAATTAAAACATAATGCGTAATAGGGAACCTGACCTAATGGCTTCACTTAAGCATTCATTGAATGAGCTAAAACATGTTCCTTCTTCTTTTCGTGAACAAGCACAGTACTTAATTTAACTAAAGTTTTTCGTTTCTGGAAAATAACATACGTAAAGTCTTTCCAACAATTTGATTAGTCTTCTGAAGGGTTAAGTAAATAAATTGAGTTCGTAGACCAATAATTAACTAAAGGAATTCAATGAATTAAACTTACTAAGAACAGTAACTACGGGCTTTTGTTTGCTGATATTATGTAGTCAAAATCATTTCAATTGTGGATTTAGTTTACTTAAAAGTGAAGCAAATGAATGAAACTAATTAGTATACCCTTAACTAAACGAATTCGATAATTTAAATTAAACTAGCCACGATCCTTAACAACAATTCAATTGGTTCAGCCTGACTAGATTAATTACTATAAACGAATACTTTAATAGGCCTTCCCAAGAAAAAACTACATTTAGTTTCTTATTCTAAGAGGTAGATAGCATTCAACAAACTACATGTCTATCCTTTTTTGACTTCAACCTCAACCAGACTACATGAATGACAGTTGTAAAGCATATTAGATTAATTAAAGCCTACTTATCAGGAAACTTGACCTCGTCGCGTCATGTAGGCATTACATCGATTAGATAAAATGTTACTTACACCACAGTTTTTAGCAAATAGTTGAATTAGCTTTATTGCTGCTGAACTGTGCTCTCTGAACAAACAAAAACCAATTCTGGAGGCCTATAATTACAAGGCAGGCCGTCACGAAAAGATTGGTTTTTTTAGGGACAGTACAGCACTTTGGGGATCTGAAGGGCTGAAAGTGCTGTACTGTCCCTAACAAAGCAATCCCAGAAGCGGAAAACGCTGTACTGTCCCTAAAAAACCTAAAAAACCAATTCTGGGGACCTGTACAGGCAGCCCCTCTTCAAAAGATTGGTTTTTTAGGGACAGCACAGCACTTTCAGCACCTCAGACCCTCAAAGTGCTGTACTGTCCCTAAAAAACCAATCCCATAAACATAAGGTGCCGTACTGTCCCGAAAAAACCTAAAAAACCAATTCTGGAGGCCTATACAGGTAGACCCTCACGAAAAGATTGGTTTTTTAGGGACAGTACAGCACTTTCAGCACCTCAGGCCTTCAAAGTGCCGCACTGTCCCTAAAAAACCAATCCCAGAAGCAGAAAGTGCCGTACTGTCCCTAAAAAACCTAAAAAACCAATTCTGGAGGCCTATACAGGTAGACAATCACGAAAAGATTGGTTTTTTAGGGACAGTACAGCACTTTCAGCACCTCAGGCCTTCAAAGTGCCGCACTGTCCCTAAAAAACCAATCCCAGAAGCAGAAAGTGCCGTACTGTCCCTAAAAAACCTAAAAAACCAATTCTGGAGGCCTATACAGGTAGACCCTCACGAAAAGATTGGTTTTTTAGGGACAGTACAGCACTTTCAGCACCTCAGGCCTTCAAAGTGCCGTACTGTCCCTAAAAAACCAATCTTTGGAAGAGGGCCTGTCTGTATAGGCCACCAGAATTGGTTTTTTAGGTTTTTTAGGGACAGTACGGCACTTTCTGCTTCTGGGATTGGTTTTTTAGGGACAGTACAGCACTTTCAGCACCTCAGGCCTTCAAAGTGCCGTACTGTCCCTAAAAAACCAATCTTTGGAAGAGGGCCTGCCTGTATAGGCCACCAGAATTGGTTTTTTAGGTTTTTTAGGGACAGTACAGCACTTTCTGCTTCTGGGATTGGTTTTTTAGGGACAGTACAGCACTTTCAGCACCTCAGGCCTTCAAAGTGCCGTACTGTCCCTAAAAAACCAATCTTTGGAAGAGGGCCTGTCTGTATAGGCCACCAGAATTGGTTTTTTAGGTTTTTTAGGGACAGTACAACACTTTCTGCTTCTGGGATTGGTTTTTTAGGGACAGTACAGCACTTTCACTCCTAAACCCTAAAGCCTACAAGAGGCAAGTCATCTGAGGCCGGTACCTGAGACAGGGAAGAAAATGAGACCTAGGTACTTGGGGGGGGGGGGGTACCATATATATATATATATATATATATATATATATATATATATATAATATATATATATATATGTAACCCTATACCCCAAACCCTAAGCCCTATTGCGATTACAGGCAAACAACCTAACTTGGCTTAGGGCTTGAAGCCCTAAACCATAAACCCGAAATCCTAAACCCTCAGCCCCCAGCCCTAAACCCCAAACCCCAAACCCCAAACCCCAAACCCCAAACCCCAAACCCTAAACCCTAAACCCTAAACCCTAAACCCTAAACCCTAAACCCTAAACCCTAAACCCTAAACCCTAAACCCTAAACCCTAAGCCCCCCTTCTAAAACCTCCGAGGTGCTCGAAGCTCCTGGACTCGGCGGAGATCCGCCGAGGGGAGCTGCAGGCAGCCCAGAGGCCCGTCCCAGTGTGG